CAGCTGGGCTGAGTGGGGTGGGTGGGGCCGACCGGGGGGGGGGGAGATCTTCTCCGGGGCGTGCGGCTTGGCACACCTCCAGGAAGATGGAGGGGAGATGTTTCTCGGAGTGCGTGGCTCCGGGAAAGCTTAGGACGGGGTGGGTCTTTGCCTGGGCTATGCGGATCAGCCCAATGCAGGCAGGGACTGGGGGGGTATCTTTCCTGGAGCACGTGGCTCCGGGAAGATGGATGGGGCGGGGAGGGCTTGCCTGGGCCATGTGGAGTGGCCCCAGGCAGGGAGGGGGGAGAGAGAGAAAGCAGGAAGGGACAGGTGGGGTGGGGGAGGAAGTCTACTCACCTTACTGCTTCTTCCTCCTCCTTCGATTGAATGAGAGGGGAAGCAGGGGGTGGCCGGAAGAAGGGGACGGGGCTTCGACATGTCCCCCCCCCAGGGCCTCACTGCCAGAGCGCCGTCCCCTGTTCTTTAAAGTCAGGATTTATAGTAATACACAGTTCCAAAAGTCAAGCTCTTTCACAAATGTAAGTGCTCATCACAAACTGGAACATACTGACAAAACTAGATCAGAGCAAAAAAACCAACAATTCCACCAGCCTTTCTTCACTTTCACGCAGAGGGTACACAGTTCCATCTTGATCCTTCTGAATTTCTTTAATTCAGTATGCACCACAGTGTTGCTATGGATCCAAATATGTCATAATGGCTTATTTAAATTATAGCCTAAACACAATAAAACTGGGACAAATGGTCACCATCCAAGCCCTACCGGCAAAGCAGCATAAGATCCTCCATCATAGGCAGGCATCTTTCTCTTTCTCATATAATTAACTTTCATATATTGAATCAGGAAGCAAAGTCAAGGGCTCTCCCTCCTGCAATTGTAGATGAGCACAATGCACACCACCTCGGTGTTCTTTTCTTTTTGGGGGTGGGGGGAAAAACACAAGTTTTTAGCTCTTTGGTCCAGATAACAGGCTAGGAATTATGAAGGAAATACCTGTAAAATCCAGAAGAGAAAGAGGAGAATGGGATGTTCACATTGTTAAAGGGACAACTACCTATTTTCACAGGCTTTGAACAACTCTCTTTTGTAGACCTTTCAGGAAATCCAACAGGCCTTGCCATTCTTTTTCAAATGTCTCCACTAGAAATGTGACCTCTCTGAGCTTAGTCTTCTAACCACTGTGTCCTAGTTTCACTGGAGAAGACTCAAATAGTTCATTAGTTGTTGTAGATTTTCCGGGCTATATAACCGTGGTCTTGGCATTGTAGGATCTGACATTCTGCCAGCAGCTGTGAACGACCATTGGTTACTCACCGTGAAAGGTCCTTCTCCTCTGAGGCTCGGAGGACATCTTGTGGGTGATTCCCATCCATCACTTAGGGAGGCAGGACCACGGCCATACAGCCTGGAAAATCTACAACAACTAGTTCTTCCTTGACTTTAGAAGGGTTGCTTGTTTTGAAAGACCATCACTCTTAACCACAGCTACTAGTTCAAGGACTAAAACAAGTTAAGAGGCATTTTACATTACAGTTAGTTTCCTACATATATCAATTCCATGGATCTCTGTGTTTGCTGTTTCATGGATCATACATGTTTGCTGTAATTGAATTCCATTTCATCGTGGTCTGTTCCAATGGTTGTTATACCCCAAGTACCCTTATGTATTGCTTCTTTAAATTTCTGCTATGGTTTTATCAGTCGAGAGGAAGAAGCATCAGCCAATGCCCAATAAAACTCTTTCTTTCTATTCTGTCCTCTGTACTTCATAATGAGCTGCAATTCACCAAGAAGGCAGAATCAGTACACTATCGGGGTGGGGGTGGGGGGTGAGAATACATGTTTTTAGCTCTTTGGTCCAGATAACAGGCTATATGTTGGTATATATGTAGCTTGAGCCTACATTGTGGGGAGGGCGGGATATAAGTCTAACAAAATAAATAAATATACATAGATAAAAAAATAAATATCTTTTGAACTTTGGGGCCTAGTGAACCAAACCCCCAAGATTCAGCAGAAAAAATACTGCATGGATCTGATGCTTTCATAACAGTCCTATGGGACAAACAGAAATTGTGAAAACGTTCATGTGGGAAAGCACTTATACAGCTTTATCACATGAAAAATAAGCAGATTCACAGAACAGCATGAAATGCGCAGTCAGTCTATGAAAGGAATCAAACAACAAGAATGATCTAACGGCTAGCAACAAGGCATATGATGAATACAGAGAAAACGCCCAGCAGGAACTCATTAGCATAATAGGCCACACACAACAGCAGAAACTCATTAGCATATTAGGCCACACCCCCATGCCTTCCCTTGGCTTGCCCGGGCAAGCCAGCCCTTGGAGGAGATGGGAGGGGAGGTAGTTTAAACTGCCTTCCCTTGGCTTGTCCGGACGCCCCGCCACTTGGACAAGCCGGGTAAGGACAACCCACCCACCCCCGGAGTCGCCGGGGGGGTCGCTCTCCAGGCCTTCCCTCTGTAGCCACACACACAGAGGTTTTGGCTGTAGTGGGCGTGGCCAACTCTGAAGTCAGCCGGAACTCCATTCCTGTGCGTTCCTGCTCAAAAATAGCCCTGCAGAGAACATTAAATATAAAAATCATAACAATGGTTTTTAAGTATTTAATGGAAGTCAAAGAGGATGGACAACAATGATTTACACCTATCTATCACCTTAACCTGGGGAGAGGGGAAGATTTTAGGTACACAATATAACAGTGAAATTTTTTTCCAGGAGCTATATTTTGAGCTGTGCAACAGCAGAAGGGCAAACATTTTTTCTGCTTATTCATTCCTACAGGAGGGAACCTATTAGACTGACCACCACAACAAAGGCATTCACAGAATCCACCTCTCATCAGGCGGCCCCACTGTTCAATCACTCAAAACGCAGAAGGAAATAGCTTAACACACCCCCCCCCCGCAAAGAACAGAGGCTGGGACAAAGGCCTTACAGCCATCTACCTATCTCCCATTCTGGGCACAGCGTTGGCAGCTGAGAAGCATAACACAATGGACCCTATAGCTCTTCCACTGCTACCACACACACCGAATTCAATAAAATCTATTACATTCCCTGCTAGGTAGTGTCCCTAAGTATGGATCTATTCTTCCAATTTGGCAAATAATTTCTTTCAAGGGAAATCTAGACACTTATTACATTACACACTACCAACACTGATTTTCTGTACTATGGGGGTATACTATACGTCATATAACCCGTTTCTGTCATGACTTCATTTTAGAACACACAAAACTCCACCTCACCTCTTAGAACCTATGAACAGTACAGCAGGATCAGACCAAAGGTCTGTCTACTCTGGTGCCCTGTTCCACAGTCATCAACCAGATGCCCCACTAGAAAGCCTACAAAGCAGGACAGGAAGCCTCTTCCTACTATTTCCACCCTACAACTCGCATTCAATGCATCTGAACACGCAGACTGAATTTAGCCATCACAGCCACTGACAGACCTATCCTCCAACAACAGGTCTAATCCCTTTTTAAAGCCATTTCAAGATAGTGGGTCATCACTGCATCATACAGCAGTGAACTTCAAGAGTTAATTACACGTTCTATGGAGTACTTTCCTTTGTCAGACTGCAAATTCAATGGGTATATGTGAGTTCTAGTATTAAGGGAAAGAGAACATTCCATCTACTTTCTCTGCACAGTGAATAGTTTTCTAAACGTCTTGTGTTCTTTTCCCCCAAAAAAACTGAAAAGCACCAAGAGGAATACAAGTGATTGGATCTATACCCTGCCCTTCATTTGGAGTCTCAGAGTGGCTTACAACCTCCCTTCCCTTCCCCTCCCCACAACAGACACTCTGTGAGGCAGGCGAAGCTGAGAGAGCTCTTTCCAGAACTGTCCTTGAGAACAGCTCTGACAGAACTATGGTTTGCTCAAGGTCATCCAACAGCTGCAAGTGGAGTGGGGACTCAAACCCGGTTCACCCAGATTAGAGTCCACACACTTAACCACTACACCGAACTGGCTCTCCTTCCAAACACTCCAAAACCCCACTGACATCTCAATTGACTTTTCTAGCACTACAACATCCTTTTTGAGATACAGCAATCAGAATTATGCACAGGATTCTAAATGGGACCACATCAGTGCACTGTACAAAGGAGTTATGGCTACTGATAATTTTATTTTCAATCTCTTTCCCAACAATCCCTAGCATGACAGTTGCTTTCTTTTACCACTGAGTTTCATCAAGTCGTCATTTTAATTGAACTACCCAAAACAACCCCATGATCTCTTTTCTAATATTTTACAGACTGTTCAGACCTCAATGGATATGCAGAGTTAGATTTTAGGCCCAAATGCAATTCATTTTACACACACCTACACTAAACCTCGTTTGCCACAGTGATGACAACTCCACTCACCACTTTGGAGAGATCCTCTTGGGAGATTTTCACAATCCACTCTGCTTTTCATCACCTGAGAAATTTGCATCATTTGTGCCGAGGTCATAGCTCAGTGGCCGAACATCTGTTTGGCATGCAGAAAGCTCCAGGTTCAATCTCTGGGCATCTCTAGGAACCAGGTAGCAAGTGATGTGAAAGACTTCAGTGTGACACACTGAGGAGCACTGTCAGTCTGTGGACAATACCCCCTCACTCCAGATTATTTAAGAACACGTTAAATAGCACTGGTCCCAATACAGTACCCAGGAGACCCCATATTTACTTTCTTCCATTCTGAAAACTGGCCACACTCCAATGCTTAGCTAGTTTCTAATAGGGATGGGTACAAACTTCAACACAAACCTAATTTCCTGATGAAATCAACCAAGGTTCATGCCATCTCGCCTCAATGAGCCTCCCAAGACCCTCAATGTGGTTATTAGGAGGCTCATGCAGCACGTGGTGGGAAGCAGGGACAGAGCAAGAAGAATCACTGAAATGGCTTGCATCCATTTAGCCTAACAAGAGGGCTGGTGCACCCATTACCTGTTAGGCTGAAATAGATGAAAGCCATTTCAGCAATCACTCTTGCTAACCCCCCCCCCTTCCAAGCAGGAGGAAGCGAAACAAGATGGGTTAAATAGCTTGGCTGATCCCCCTCTCCTTCCCGGCCGATTTCCCCCCGCCTGAGAAAGGTGGCCTGAACCAGCCCATACTGGCCAGTTTGGGCATTTTTTGCTTGGTTCGGTTTGGGGCTCAGTTCAGCTACACCACAAACCGGAATTTTCTGGTTTGTGCCCATTCCTAGTTACTAATCCACAATAGGAACAGTCTTCTTACCTGGTGGCTGCTAACTATAATCAGATTTTTGGTTGTCAGAGATTTGTTTCTGGAAGTCCAAGACACCCCTCACTTTTTCCCATATGGTTTTTAATATGCTCAAAGAACTCCAAAAAGTTAGTGAGGCTGGCCTTTGCAGAAGCCATTCTGATTTTTCCTTAGCAGGTCTTATATTAACATCCCATTTTTCTCACTGTATTAGCATTGGTTTAACCTACCCTCACAGAGGGTGCTCTGCATATTTCCAGCATGTGGAATTTCAAATTGCTTGTAGACTCTAACGTAACCCAGTTTATTAATAATTTGCTTCCATTCTTTCACAAATGTTTTTGTGGTTTCCTCTTTAGGGTGTTAAAATTGTTGACATTTATTCCAGGTTTGTTACTGGAAACTAGACAAATCTTTTTTTGCTTCCTCTGTACAAATGATCCCTGCACCTGAGCTGTATTCTTGATTGTTGTTGTGCAGTTTTGGTTTTTTATTTGGCTGCTGTGCACCCAGAAACTCCACATGCTCTTGTCTACCAAAAGTGGCAGAAACAGGAAGAACCTAGAGAGGGAAATAGCTGGGTTTGGCTTCTGCTACATGATATTAGAAGATTAACAAAATGTTGAATGCAAATATTCCCAAGTTTTAAAAGACCGATCTTTGTAATTTTTAACAGGTGTGATAATGAACAGAAACAAGGACAACACAATGTTTCTGTTCAGACCAATCACACAAAACTTCAAAAAATTTTAATGCAGTTCATGATTAAATGTATGTGCCGCATAAACATACAAACATACAATCAACCCAGGATGCAAAACGAAACTTTTCCCCCTACAAATAAGGAGCAGATGGCACTTAAAAGTACTGATCTGAAGCCACCCTTTCACACCATGCCTTACTAAATGTACTATGTAGAACAGCTTAGTATATCCATAACACTTGTGGTAAGTGTCAACTCCCTTCAAAAGAAAAGAGTCAGTTTAAGGGACTTAAATCCAGATGTTACCTACATGATTATCCAAGAACCTCGCATGGGAACATCTCTTAACACTACACAGAGACTCTCAAAACATTCAACACCCATTTAATACAGGACATCAGTTAGCTTATTTCCCTGCTAAGATGAGAGGCTGATAGTTTATAAAAACATAAGGAGGCTAGAGATATTTTGTACAGAACATCTAAATTTGAAACAGCCACTAGTTTAGTTACAAGTATTGGTTAATTTCTAAAACAATCTTATTTATGTATTTAGAATATTTATGAGTTGCCTGTCCAAGGCAGCTTGCAATGTAAATAAAACAATGATCTTAAAAAACACATAAAATGCCACAATTTAAAATCTCAATTAGAATTGCCAATAAATAAAAACTAAATTAGTCAAATGCAGTCATAAAAAAATCTTCCTCAAAGGAGAACAGAATTTTAAGGGAAGTCACCTGTACCACCTAAATTTGTTATTGAACAGTATAAACTTTATGAAATAAGGGATCCAAAAAAGAAAACTACCTCTCCCACTAGCACGTACATATCATTTCTCCGAAACCCAGCCTCTGTGTTTAACCCTTAAGTTCATATCGTGCCATTCCTAATTAGGTATTTTCTCCACCTCCTCCAAAAAGGAAGGAAACCACATGCCAAACACAGCATATGCTGCAACAAAAGCAGGCAAGACTGGGGACATATTCATTCAGCACTATGATAACTTCATTCTGCTGTAGCTTTCATTCACAGACCCATTTGACTTTTGCACTTATTCTTTGCCTGCCTCCAACTCTGAGACATGCTCACTTTCCACACTATTTACATCCCTGGGATACATGCTTGGATGAATCAATGAGGTTTATTGCTGAATTGCTTAATTCAAATTTACAGAATTAGTACAGTTGCAGATTTGCACATTTAGACACATACACCACCTTTTGGGCTCTGGGAAAACAAATCAAGAGAAGGTACAAAAACCAGCCAAGCAATCACACACATTTTTGGTCGTTATTGCTTCTTGAAACTTTTATGTAGTTCAGAAACAGATGCCTGGCTTCAAAACTCCTCCCATGACCTTCTTAATTCTCCCGAACCATCACTGCATTCAGAACAGAGACAACTATACTAGCAGACCCCATGTTCAAATGAACATGGGATCTGCCAATGCAGTCATAGCCTTACGTGCAGTGGGGGAGGTAACCAAATATGTAAGCCCAACAGCTGCTCTAAATCTCGCCATCTGTAGAGACTGGCAAGAAGCAGCAGCATCTGAACAGGATGGCACATTCCCAGTTCCTACTGCATAAATTCCAGAACTGGTAGGAAGAATTAATTCACTGTTGATCCACTGTAAACTAGCTGACAAGCCCAAATAGACCTCAAATTACAAGGAAAAAAACATGAAAAAGAAATTAATTGGCTGCAGAAATATTTGTAAGTCTCAATGCATTTCAAGCTAGTTGCAAAGTGTAAAGGAAGCATTACCTGCATCATAGGATACTTTGCTTCTGCAGGACTTCCAAACCCATTAACACCAATGAAACTGGTACTGAAGTAGGAGTCTGTAAGACTAGCTTCAGCTAGAGAACTTCCATCTATTCCTGGAACTGGAAAAAAGAACGGAAAACTCACTTTAGAGGATACCAGTACGGCAGGAACTTAAGTTCAGGAGTTAAATCTGTACTTTAAACACACGCACCACCTATAACCAAGTGAAAAAACTGCTATAAACAAATACATAACATCAAAGACTGTCAGCCTCACAATTTAGCACCCACTTTCAGCAAGCTGCAAACCTGTGGGAGACTATACCTACCTGACAGAGCTGTATTTTGTTTAACACAGCATCAAATACATGCATGTCTTCTTTCATTCTCTAACCAAGGATTGAAAAGCTGGTAGCCCTTTATTTTGGGAAGGAAGGGGATTGTTAGCCTTCCCAGCTGTATGTAGCTGACTCTACAACTAGAAGAGACAAAGTTGGTGATAAGGGCTAGTAAGAATAAATGGGCAGGTGGAGCAAAAGATAAGAAACCATGCACTGAGAGTTATCTGGCTGATAATTTTCTGTGCACTAAGTGAAAAGTTTCTGAAATGTTATTAAGGAGATTCAATAATGATATATTTTCCCACCCTATAGTGACAGAATTTTTCTTTTTACCCTACTACTATTGAAGGCAAAAGGCACAGAAAAGGTAAGATGGGGCGAGGGGTTCCAAACACCTGACACTGATTTACTTGCTGAAGCATTTGGCTTTAGAAAGGACGACTGATGAAAGAGATGGAGTTTGGACTAGGCACAGGGAGAGCATAAAAAAAGAAAGAAACAGGCTGTTAAGACTTTACCCTTGCCTCACTCACCTGCAGGGGTTCACTACCCCAGGTAAGGAGAATGCAAGTTTAACCACATAACCTCCAAGTTCAGCCATTAACTTCTGAACATGATGACAGTAGCAAAAGACATAATGTGTGAACTAAAGACCCTCTCCCGGTCTCACCTCCTACAGAGTTTGCTGGGGGAGGAAGTCTCCAAACAGACCTAAAGGGGACTCAACAGTTAAAAAATATTAAGTTGAGCTTCCTGACAAGAATATGCTAATTAATCACATCTTTGAAGTTCTGTTTGTTCCATCACTTTCATATAAGGGAAGTCTGGCAATGTCTGCTTTAAAAAATACACCTTTAAAAAGTCCATTTTGGCAAAAATGTTGCTATTTGCAGAAGATGCAAAAGCAGACAATGTGTGACGCTAAAAAGTACTCTGCTCAGCATGAATGTGTACTGGATGCTTGTGCTGGATTGTCAAAAATGCAGTAGTACACCATAGGCTACAAGTTAAGATGAGGGAGAAAAAAACAGAATTAAGCTTTGTTACTCATTATCAGTGCTTGAAATCTCTATATGCAGGATACAGAAATTTGTTTTTAGTTTAGTAGAAATAGTGCTGATTATGTGCAGCTTACAGCTGACCTATTTCCGTTTCAGAAACCTCAACCATATGTTTGTATCAAGAGTATTGTGTGTTGCTCAGTATTTCAGTCAAGAACACAACATATTATGACTTTATGTGCTAATACTATGACTGTAACCAAGGAGGTCTCCAATATCCCTTCCACTACCAAATTTTTACAGTGTATTTTAGAGAAAGAGTGACAGTTATTTTTTAATTTCCCTTTAACTACAACTGCATAAAATATTTGTCAATGGTAACTTCTCAACAAAAGTTATCAACAACAACAAATAATCTCCTGCATTTAAAACCTGGAACATCTGATATGTTTACAGAGACAGAAATCTACTGCATATCAAATGGCGCCATATTAGCTCAGTGACAGCAGAGTTGAATAAGTTTCCACAGCCTGGGTATATTGTTGGGGGAATATAATTGCAGCATCATGGACAGCCAGAAGTGGCAGTACTAAGGGGGCAAAAATGACTAAACATTAAATATATACTGCCAGTAATAAAGGGGAAAAGCTAAAAAATAAAGAGTCACCTCCTCTGTGGTACTTGAACCCCTGAGTCGAGGCCTTTTCTGACTAGGGACCCTCACTAATTCCCAAATGCAACACAGAGATCCCACAAGGCTTTTTTTTAAAAAACTATATGTTCATCTTTACATCCTCTCAGAACATTTCAATTGCACTCTTGGTACAATCTTCCTTTTTGCAAAATGTCTGAGTCATGACCCACCAACTACACACCAGTGACATGTTTTTCAGTGTCCCCTACATTGTTGGGCTTCTTGGGAGTGTTTTGTCAAAGTTTTAAAATAAACAGAATTACACTGACAGTGAAGGGTATGAGCGGCAAAATTGTCTAGCAATATTAGAAAAGATTTATAAGTTCCATTATTAAGTATGACTAATGCTTCTATTTACCTATATAAAACATTCATATGCCTATTTACTCCCCCTCCCCTGGCAACTAGGACCCAAGGGTGAGAATTACACTTCCAAAGGTAAGTACTAGTCTTTCCTCGCATAAACACCACCAATAAGTCTAGAGATCTTCCAAGATAATGATGAGGTACAAAAAACCGCCCTCAATAATTCAATAAATAACTCAATAAATTCAATAATCTCAAAAAATCTATATTCACCATCTCACAGGTAAGTGTATTCAGCTCCTGAAAAGAATTCTGAGTAGAGTAATAACGCTGCACTACATGTTGTGGTACAGCAGCAGCTATGCCATATCACTATATTTTCATTCATTTCCTTAAAAAAAAATTGCAGCCAAGTTACAGTAGTTTCCAATACTAGAATACCAGGCAGAAATTGCCAGAAATAGATCAAATTGATTAAATAGTGTTCCCCATCTTTTCAGAAAGAGAGAGACACAGTATGTTTAAAGTCAACTACACATAATAGTCACATCTGTGTTCTTTAACTCCCTTTCTAAGTGGCAATGGAACACCCATAAGCTGGACTGACCCAAATATCCAGCCATGCGGTATGATTTATTACTCTACTTCTTTCAGTGCTCTACCCACTCAAGCACATAGTATCTTAACAGGTGCAATCTCTATCATTTTCACCAAAACTCAAGCCACTGTATTTACCTATTTCTCCCTCCCAAAAAAACAATGGTTGCCCGCTCCCTAATTAAAACTAAATTCAGAAATGTTCCTGGTTCTCCTCTCTTTTAGAACAAGGCTATCAGACCCTAGTTTTAATTAACCTGCCTCAATTTTTTCTTAGTTCCCAATACAGAACATTCGTCATACCCAAATCCAGTGGTTAATGCAGAAAAAAATATTACTTCCAGTTATAATTCTATCATTTTCAACTTATTCTCCTCTCCACAACACAACCATACAGACTCCACTGCTGGCTTTAGAACGCTGCATGCATTCCGCTGAAGGCACATCCTCATATGCATTCCAATTACAACACCCCACCTTGAAAACTCATTGCCCATAACTCTGAAACCATAATAATTTCTGTACGTTACATTTATCACATTTCTTTCCAACATCTTCGTACTAACTTAGAAAGATCCCTTTCTTGCTAGCATTTTTGTTAAGTACAATGAATAAAATCAATCATAAACTAGAATTATATACCAAGGTTACAACTGTAAACTGGATGTGGTATGGTTCCTCCATCACAACATGCTTATAAGCATGTTAGATGAATTCAAAACTTACTGAACACAATGTGGTATTTACCATAGGTCATATGCTCACCTAAAAACAACTAAATTTTGTAGTATATATCTTTTAACATGTTTAATTGATGCCCCATAGTCCTTGCTTTTTCATTTCACAAAGTTCTAACACACATGCAAACCTTAAGTACTAAACTCTCCAGTAGCAGCCAAGTATTACACCTTCTGGACAATGCTTTCAAATACATTACAAAAGATTAAGTCTCAGTGAGGCTTCTTAGGAATTAATGTCCAACTTGTGAATGGAATTAAGGTGCTGCACAACTCATTGTTCCAGAACTCTCAATGCCTATTTAATATTGTAAAGATAAAACCAACCTTCATGAGCCTAGCACATAAGCAAACCAGCCTTATTACAGAGGAAAGAGGCATTCTACGTTGCATATCTTTAAAAAAAATCCAAATAATTTCTCTCAGTAACAACTGCACTATTGGTACACCAGCTACAATGAAGACACAAATTACAATGAACCTTGTAAGGCCATCCTTTCAATAGACCAAACCACTATGATTATAATGGAAACATTAATTTTAATTTCAATCTTGTCGTAGGCCAGTGATGTCGAACTCATTTGTTACGAGGGCCAGATCTGACATGGGCTGGGCCATGTGTGCCATAAAACATAATGCCAGGTACCAGAGATATAAACTATATAAAGCACAGCAGCTGGCGTTAGTGTATCCTCACTGCAGGACCCCATGGGCTGCGAGAGGGGTCCTAAGGAAAACCTGCTCCAGATGAGGTTGTTCTGCCATGCTGAAGCCACAATCGGAGTGGCTCTGCCCACTCCCACCCCCCAAACAGTCTCCTGTTCCCTCCCTTGCACTAGTTGCTTGCAGCCTGCATAAGAGCCCTGGATGGGCTCATTCCAGTCCCCAGGCCTTAAGTCTGACACTCCGTTCTAGGCGCTATGCTTTGCTTGACTACCACAGGAGACCTTTCAGTGTTAAGACTTTGTAAACACACAGCTCAAATGTTCAGCTTTAACCATTCTTTTTAGGGGGGGGGGAACAACCTGACTAGCCCATCTAAGAGATGGCATTCTTTTGGTTTCTGTAACTATGTGCATCTTACTGGCTGAGAGGGTAGTAATACTGTAGCTATCAGAACCAATCAGATTTCACCCAGAGTCTCTTGGAAAGGCCAAGTAAAAAGCAGCATCTACTAATGCTTCAAAATTTATAGGCATTTTAAGAATACATGTGCTGGATCACCATAACATTCTGTCAAAAAAATTACATGTGGCACATGGCATGCATGGTAGCTTATACATCTCATGGCTGAAATGTTTCCTCATGGTTTTCTAATCTACAAAAAACAGTCTTCTCTTCAATGCCCAGGTGCCTGATTGAAAAAGCAATACGACTATTATAATGGCCAACTCCCATTATGTTTTCATGCTTCTGCAAATTTAATCTCAGAAAGGTAAACTGAATGATAAACCATACCAACCAACTCATTTTTCTTTTGAAGTTATAATGCTTTTTGCAAAGCTCATGTCAATAATTAAGAGGAGCATCACTGTTGCATCCAATTTCAGCAAATCACTCTGAAGACACTCCATAAGAATTACAGGTTAGAAACAACACAAACACTTAACAGAGCCAAAATGTAGGGAAGTCTGGAATGTTCTACCTTCGAATACCCTGCACTGAGCACGTTGGACTAGGCAACCAATAAGACCCCTTTGAACTCTGGGGCTTAACAGTGCAGTTTTATGCAGAATTACTCCAATCTAAGCCCACTGAAATCAGTGGATTTAGGAGTAACCTGCACAGGACTGCATTGTAAGTGATATAGAATGGAACAGCATCCTGGAGATAGCACAATACACATGACTACTTTTTCCACAACACAGTGACTTTCTGTAATCACCTCAAGGCAAAGATCAATGTGTATTATGAGCTTACAAAGGACTTCAACAATAGTGCAGCTGTGGTACTATCTCATGCACAGCAAGGCCCAATGTGTTTTTCTTCGGATGGGAGGGGGAGAGAGCGAACACAAACCATATTAGCTGATGAATAAATGTAAAGCTGACTTCTAGGTGGACCTTCACTGCATAATGAAGATATTATCCAAGTGAAGCTATCATGATGGATTGTTTTGTTTTTTAAGTACAAGCATTTGAATATTATATGTTCAAAAGTTTGTTAATCACAACTGCAGATTTTACACTGCTCAGTTAAGAAAAGTATTCTGCAGATGAACAATTTTTTCACAGATTCTCCTTCATACCATTTCACCTTGAAAATCCTACTAAAGGAGAAAAGTGGCTTTATAATGTCATCTCTTCTAGCATAATCCACATGGGATAATTATATTTAACATAGGTTGTTTCACACTTGTTTGCCAGGGCTTTTGATATTTGAATGGCAGGCATCTTTTAAGGAGAAGGAGGGGAGAGAGATTTGGGTTTATTATTTTATTATGATTTTAAATGCGAATTATTTTTAACTATTATTGTAATCCACCTTGAGCCATGAGGAAATGTGGGGTACAAATGTTTTAATGAATACAATCTTTACTTATGGTGCAGGTCAATTTAAAGTTTATATACATATAACAATTTCTCCTAAAAATGTGCACGTATTGGAAGAGGATGTCGGGTTAAAATATGTGATCGAATTTTGAAGACCAGGTTACAACTACAGAACTAACTTTGGCAATTAGAAGAAGAGAAAGAGATTGCATTTATACCCCACCCCTTCACTCAGTGTCTCAGAGCAGCTTACAAACCCCTTTCCTTTCCCCTTCCCACAACAGACACCCTATGAGGTAGGTGAGCAGAGAGAGCTCTGACAGAAACTGCTCTTTTCAAGAACACCCCTGACAGAATTATAGAAATGGGAAGAATTGGAGGCACCTACCAGTTTATTGTGGTTGGGGAAAGGCATTATAAGTTATCAAACTGCACTTTAAAGATATTCAACAAGGTGATTTTTTTAAACATAGCAGTGACTAACTAGCTGTATCTTCTCAACAACTTGAAGATATAACAACATTTAATATTTCCATTCGGAAATATTCATAAGTTACTAGGTACTTGTCCCAACCTGGATGGAACCAGGCGAGCCTGATCTTGTAAGCAAAATATGGTCAGCCCTGGTTAATACTTAGATGGGAAACCACCAAAAAGTCCACTGTTGCTAGGCAGAGACAGGCAATGTCAAACTACCTAGGTCTCCTGCCTTGAAAACATCACAGTATTGCCATAAGTCACCTACAATTTGACAGCACTTTCTACCACCACTAGGTACTTTCCTAAAAGAAATCAAGATGAAAAGGGGGGGGGGGGTTTGCTAAAAATGCCAACAGTTCATTTTCTCATACAATCCTCCACTACCCTGTATTACAAGGAAACCCACTTAAAAGCAGCAAGTTAGCAGATACAAACTAGAAACATAGGTGCACCAGAGACTCTGTTGTACATGCACCTTATACTAACAATGCTAAACTTTTTTTAAAAAAATGCTGCCAATCACTATTCTACCTGCACTGGGGTACACACACACAAGCCAAAACTTTTTTTAGAAGGGCTGGTTTGTAAATAGGTCTGCAGATCTTAATTTTGCTTTAGAAACCTTACAAACTAGAGAATAGGTGTACCAGAGATTCTGGTGCCCACACACCTTATACTAACAATGCTAAACATTTTTGAAAATGCTACCAATTGGGGTACACACACATACCCTGACACCCAAGACAAAATTCGTTTCAAAGGGCCCGTTTGTAAACAGGCCTGTAGAGCTTAATTTCGCTTTACAGATTTTTTGCACTACCTTGTTTGGATGTATCTGTGACTTTTTGACACGTGTAGTTTCTAAGGGCTATAGCTAAAAATCCTACACACACCCCTATCCTGACCCAACATCCTCTACCCTCATCCCACTATCTTTTTCTCTACAGCTATCCAAAATCCCACTCAAGTCAGGCACATTAGCGGCCCAAAGACAGCAGAGAAGAAGAGAGAGCACTAACACGCCCTTCCTCCACCTTTCAACACCTCAAGCAACAACTCGGGCTTCAACTCCCCTCCCAAAAGGGGAACGAGCCTACCCTGGCCGCGGCCCGCTTCCTCCCCCTCTCCCCAGACGCCAGCCACCTCCTTCCGGAGCATCTCCGCAGGCCGCCCCCCGACATCCCTGCCTCCTCGGGGAGGAAGAGGGCCGCAGGCTAAGCAGGCGCAGGACCAGAGAGACCCGCCCGAAGCCGCCCCCACGCCGGCCTCGCCCACACTCACTGGCCAGCCGGGGTCCGTCCATCCCCGCTCCGCCGCTCGCGCCTCCCAGGCCGCCGCCGCCCGCCACCAGTTCGGGAGGCTTCTTAGGCACCGGCGCCGCCGCCCCGAGCCCCGGGTAACCGCCGCCGCCGCCGCCGCCGTGCCCCGGCGAGGCCCCGGGGGCGGCGGGCCCGGGCAGGCGGCGGAGGCGGCGCCGCTGCCGCCGGGCTCCTCGTGGAGGAACTGGCACTCCTCGCCGTAGAAGCACGTCTTGTCCTTGGCGTAGTAGCGGCAGAACTTGAGCTTCACCCCGCCGGGGACTGCCGCCACCACCACCGGAACCCCAGGCCCCGGCGGTGGCCCCACCGCCGCCGCTGCCACCGGGGAGGAGGAGGAGGAGGAGGAGCAGGGGAGCCCGCCGCTGTTCATGGCGGCCGCTACAGCAGCAGCAGGAGGAGGAGGAGGAGGAGCGAGGCCGCCTCGGGAGGCACCGCCGCTGCCGGCCGCGGCACCATGGGGGAGGCAAGGCGGGGAGCAGGAGCAGCCACTACTGCCGCCGCTGTCACGGCCTGAAGGCCGCCGACGGAGGGAAGGAGTGGGCGCTTCTTTCGAGGGGAGGTCGAGCGAGCCCGCCAAGGAAGACGAAGCAGGAGGAGGGAAGCCTCGGCCAGGCTGCTCAATGGTCCCGGCGGCGGCGGGGTTGTTTATTCCATTTTCCTCTTCCTGAGCTGCCTCTTTAGTGCGCCTGCGTGAGAGAGAGGCCCGCTGGGTAATCCGGGCCTGGAGCGGCAGGCTCTGACAGAACGCTGAGCGGGTGTCTCGTGGGCGCGTCTCTCCTCTCCGAGTGTTGCTTTTGACCTGGATTAGTTAGGCTTGGTTTTGGGCTCGTCCCTTTCTATTTTTTGTTAACGGTGCCTCTTTTGTGGAGAATCATTCCAAACTGGGTGTTGTTCTGTCTGTTGCTGAGCAATTAAACAGGAGTCCAGGGGCACTGTAAAGACTGACCTAGTTTATTCCAACAAAAACTTTCGGGAGTCGGAGCTCGCGTCAGTGCTGCTGGTCTCCTGTTTAGTTTTTCTGTTCCACAAAGACTTGCCCGATCTTCC